CCACCAGTGACCTGTCTGTCTCCTGTGCACATCCTGGGGGGCACCCCAAAATGGAAAGCAATGGGGTCAGTCCAGAGCAATCCCGCCAGAGTGGGCCCTGTACACAGGTGTCTGGAATGATGTGAGGAACCCCAGACACTCTGTAGTAGGCCAGACATCCGCTGCTTGTCACTAGGCCTGCTACCGACAGTCAAACCTCAGTCCTCCAGCATTGAGAGGCTACCATCTCCAGGGATCATGCAAAGCAAAGGGCTTCATTCCTTTGGGTTTTTTCTTACCCTTCTTAAGCATTTTCTTTTAAAATGCAAATGGCCTCTGGGAAGAGCAATGCAATAATTGCTAACACCCCAGATTGGATTAATTGGCGGTGGGGGGAGGGTCTGTTCTTGTAAGACTGCTGAGGACTGGGTATCTGTAGCAAAAAGGGGAGCTCAAGTTCAGAGGTGACTGCAGAACTAAGGACCAAGACAGAGCAACAACCTGGCCTTTTTCGGGGATGAATTCCTAGGGCCACATTGACTCCTCCCTTAATCCTTCCACCAAGACAAACATCCCAGTGGCCCCCATAAACAGCAGCAGTCCCCAGAATGCAGCTGGTAAGGAGAGCCGGGTTCCGTGGGAGAGAGCAGCCAGGGGCTGGGCGGCCTTGGCCCCAGCGCAGAGGGGCTGGGCCTGCCTTTCACCATCTCCAGGCTGAGGACGCCCTGAACCAGTGCCTACTCGCTCCCCAACAAGTCCAGGGCTTGGAGTTCAGGTAATTAGGCCCTTGGCATTCTCACCTGAGCCCGCCAATAAAACGGAGACAATCACCCTCAGCCCCTATTCAGGAGGGAGAGGGAAAGAAGGGGGGAGGGAAGAAGGAAAGCTTTTTTTCTATGCTGAATTCAAGGCTTGGCAACCAGACAGGAGATTATTAGTCTATAAGCAACCATTCCAAACACCCCATACCCACTTCAAACCCAGGGCTGTCCCTGCCTCATGTCACCCCCAGCTACCCAAGGCTGGTGCTCCCACACAGTGAAGACCTTTCTTTAACCATCTCTCAGTGCCCAGCAGGTACCTGGCATGCAAACCAGACTTTCTTTTTCCCCTAAATAATAAACTCGCGTGCTTCTTGTGTGTGATCACACGGATGTGGGATACCTGGCCCTTTTTAATCCCTTGGTCACTTATGCTCACAATAAGATGCATGGTAGACAGGGGAGAATATAATATACCGATAGTAATTGCCATTTATGGAGTGCTTGCCAGGGGTCTAGCTTAAGTATGAGGATTATGTCATTTAAAGTTTCCTAAGCCATAGGTACTATTATTACCCCAATTTACAAACAAGGAAACTGAGGCTAAGAAAGAAATTCTGAAATTTGCCCCAGGTCACACCGAAGTTTTAATGAATACGTATTTAATTGAACTGATGGTTCCCATTCTTTGTCAAGAACTAGTAGGAAGAAGTGGGGGGAGGGGATCTGCCTCCAAAGACTCCTATCCGAGCTCACCAACAGGTAAGCAGAAGGTGAAGCAGGGGGACAAGCTCTGCTCCTCCCTCCTCTCCTTTCTTGAGTGCAACAGGTGCAGCTAGCCTGAAAATGTTTTGGGGCCATCTCTCCAGTGGCTCACTCCTCCACAGTCTCTGGGGTTCTGGAAGCTCTCAAGGATCCCGAATTCTCCCCCTGCCTCTGTTTTCCCTAACGTGGGCCGCTATCGGCCACAACTAGGGTTTCCAGCTCCTCGACTCTCCTCTCCCGGGGAGAGGTCTGGCCGAATAGGGAGGGGGTGCATCGCGGCAGCATCCTCAGGAGTGGAGGTGGACCGCCCGCAGGTCTCCCGCCGCCTTCCCTCCACCCCCGCAGGTTGAGCTGTGCCTCGCGCGGGGAAACAAGGGGAGTGCAGTCAATTCGGTGGCCTACCGCTCGCCCAAGGCCGCGGCCCGGGCGGCGTCTGCTGGCCCCTGTCAGGAACCCGCAGAGACCCCTGCCACCTCCCGGTGCCCGCGCAGCAGGAAACGCCGCCGAGGGGCCAGGTGCAGGCGACACTCGCCAGTCACCGCCACTCCCCGCTTCTCCCTTGCCGCCAGGCTCAGCGGCCGGAGGCCGGAGCCGCGGGCTCATTTTTCACGCCCCCCAGACCGCCTCTCTAGGTGACGCTAGAGTCTGTGCGGTTCCTTTAAAGGCTGCGGGTTCCGTTCTTCTTTCCTTTTCCACTGGATGCCAAAATATGCAAATCCGGGGACCGGAATCAGCAGCCAAATCGAGGAGAAGGGGCGCGGCCGGCGCGTCACCGGATCCGCTCCTTGTATGGCTCTTCCCGGCTTGGCCCGCCGCCCCGCGACCCTCCCTGCAGCCGCCAGGGCCCCTCCCCCGCCCCGCCGGGCTCACACTGCCGCCCACGCCCCCGGGCGGGCCGCTCGCCCCCCTAGGGAGGGAGCCGGGGGCGGGAGGCGCTGCATGCCCTGATTCCGGCCGGAGCCGGGGACCGCCGCAGAGCGGCTCCCTCCCCGCGCCGCGCAGGCGGAGGAGAGCCCGGGGGCGCAGCGCCTCCCCTGTATAGGTGTAGGGAGCCTGGCGCGAGCGGCGGCCGGGGTGGGGTGGGGTGAGGGGGCTCGCGGGCGGCGGGAATCCCTCCTTTCCCAAGAACCAGAGAAGATCCGGGGGAGGCCGGGCCCTCCCTCCCCCGGTTCTCCGCCGAGCCGAGGGGAGTGGAGCGAGGTTGTCATCCACCCCCACCACGATAAGCAGCTCGGGAGTTCCTCCCACACGTCCCCGGCCCGCGTGGCCCTCCCACGGAGTGAGGCCCGGGGATCCTCTCTTCCTCCTTGTCAACACTCCCACTCCCCCTGAGAAATGCACGTTCCCCCAACCCCGACTCCCCAGCGCGCGGGGGGGGTGGCGGTTGGAGGGGAGGAAGGAGAGGACGCGGGATTCACCGCGCCCACACGGCCACGGAGGAGGGAATCCTCCCACGCCAAGCCGGTGCCGGTGTGATTCGGGGTCGCTCCCCCACGCTCCCTTTCTCTCCTCCCGCTCTCCCGCGGCCCGGCCGCGCGCGCTCCCGGAGCAGGCCTCGGGGAACATAGCAGCCGCCCCCGGGATCTGCTGCCGCTCCGGGAGGTGACAGCGTTCCGGTCGGCAAACAGGAGGCCCTTGACTGCAGGGCGCCGGCAGGCAGCGATGGGGACAGCCCTGTGGAAGGCGAGGGGGAGGGCAGAGACTAGAGGAGGTGGCTCAGAGACTGTGGGTTCGGCTTGCTCCTGCTGCAACTCAGTGGCGGGCCCTTCGCAGGCAGCAACAGCGACAGCGCCTGGGCCTGCCGGGCCCTCCTGCCATCCCGTGGCCAAAGGGGTGCTTTGGAACCGTTAAGGAATCATCAGGGATTTGGTGCACATGTTTCCTATCCCCTCAACTTCATTCCTACTTCTTTGCCACCCAAACCGCACACCCCCGACCCCAAAAGCGCGGGGCTCTAGCCTCCGACGCAGCCACGCTTTAGCCACCAAGGTCTCCAGCCGCTGCGCTCGGCGGGGAGTCAGCGCAGGGTCAGGGCCCCAGGGAGCGGCAGGGGTGTGGGCGGAGTATCGGAGCGAGAGCCGCCAGAAAGTGGTGGGGATACTGGATCTGCGACCCCTGGGCCCGCTGGAATCCTCCTCGAAGGGACGCGCTCCCTGTCCGTCAGTCTCAGGCAGGGTCCTAGATGCGAGAGGAGCGGCGGGAGCGGGGTCGGAGCGCACACGTTCCGGGCTCCCCAGAAGTTTCCAGGCTGCAAAGGGACCTCACCGGGTGGTTCCAATTCCCTTTCTCCCTGCTCGGGGTGTTGGAGGCCACTTGCAAACAACTCAGCCCCCTCCCCCGCGGTACAAGCGCGCTCCCAGAGTGCAGACCTCCTATAAACACACAGGCAGTTATTGCTTTTTCAACTCCGCGCCGAGCGCTTTACTCTTTGCGATCGGATGCTTCCCTCTTTCCTCTCTCGTCTCGAATTTTCCTTCATTCTTCTATTTTATTTTTTCTCTTTCTCTCATTTTCTTAAGGTGCGCGAGCGTTGCGGGCGCCGCATGTTGGCTGCGGCCCGCTTCCTGCTTTCTAATGTTCCATTGTGAGGAGCTTCCATTGTGACGTCGCGCCCCTTCGGCTGGGCTTTGTCTGTCCATATATGGGCAGCTACGTCACGGAGCTTTCCCGGGGCTCAGATAAATAGGCTGGTGGAGTTCCCTGGCTGGGAGCTTTTGGGCAGCAGTGAGCTTGCTAGGAAGCGGCGGGGCTGGTGGTGGTGGTAGCAGCGGCAGCAGCAGCGGCAGAGGCGGCGGCGGCGGCAGTGGCGGCGGTGGCGGTGGCGGCTGGGGGCGGGGGGGCCGCCGGCGCGCATCTGTTTGTGAGATCAATACTGAGGCCGCATCCAACCCCCTCGGGCCGAGATTTCCCCAGCCCAGGCCGCCCCCCCCCCCCCCCCCCCCCCCCCCCCCCCCCCCCCCCCCGCACCCGCCCCCCCCCCCCAGCCTCTTACGGCACCAGCTGAGGCACCCAAGAGGATTACCCCCTTTTGCCCTATCTCCCACCCACCCCAAAAAGAGAAGATCCCCTCCCCTGGCCCACCCCTTCCCCTCTTCCCTCCCCCTCCCCCCGAACTTTCCCTCTCGCATGCTTTTCCCCTGCACCACGGATCGCCTCTCGGATGCCGCTTGCCTGGAAGCTGCGTTAGGAGCGAGCGGCGGCGGTGGCGGCGGTGGCGGCGGCGGCAGCTCGGGAGTGCTATGACCGGCAAACTCGCCGAGAAGCTGCCGGTGACCATGAGCAGTTTGCTAAACCAACTGCCTGACAATCTGTACCCCGAGGAGATCCCCAGCGCGCTCAACCTCTTCTCTGGCAGCAGCGACTCGGTAGCCCATTATAATCAGATGGCTACAGGTAAGGGCGGCGGGGAGGCGGCGAGGCAGCGAGGAAGGAGAGGGGAAGAGAGGAAGAGGAGGAGGGAACGAGCTGGCGATCTATGGATGGATGGATGGATGGATGGATAGATGGGTGGATGGATGGATGGATGGATGGAGAGGTGGGGGGCGCGCTGGGAATTTTCCGGGGGGCGAGTTGCTTTTCCCACCCACTCCTCCCGCCCTCCCCGATCGGGAAGGCTCGGTTGGCGACGCCACGGTAGAGGCTTCGGTTCTCCCGGGTGGGGGCAGCCGCCGACCAGAGGGAGGTAGGTGCGAGCGGCTCTGGGGTTCTCCACTTAGGGGGCGCGATCGCCAGGCTGCGCGCAAGGCGTGGTGCTGTCGCCCCCTTTCCCGGGAGGAGCCCAGCGTCCCTTTCACCCGCGCTCTCCCCCCTTACTCCCTCAGCCTCCCACCCGGGATGGAGCCATGTGCGGCGTGGAGTCCCCGCGGTGGGAGAGGTACTGCGACGCTGCCTTTCCGGGGCGTTCAGCAAAGCCGTGGGGGTGTGGGGACGGCGGGGAGAGGGAGAGGGGTCCACCCGCGCGGGGGCCATCACGGGGGGCGATCCCCCAGCCACGGGGCTTGGGAAGAGCGGCCACTCCCGCCATGGAAACGCGGGCCGGTTTTCGGCCGCCCTCCACCCTCGCTAGCTGAGGCTGGGCTTTCCCCCCTGCATTAACAGCCGAAAGCTCCTCCAGGCCTGGCGAAGGCTGGGGCACGGGAAGGCGGCGGGAGAGCTCCCTTTGCGGGCAGAACCCCTCTACGTGCCGAGGACAAAGCGTCGGAGCGCTCCGGGTCGGCGACCCGGGCGTGGTGCGCACTGGGGGCTTCGTCGGGGCAGGAAAGGCGCGGCGTCCCGGCGCGGACAGGGCTAGGGGAAGAGGCCGAGTTCCGTGCGCTAGAGAGCGAGAGCCCGGAGCGCTCCGGGTCTCAAACTACCTGTAGCTGCAGCTACCTGCCCGCCCCACCTCGGAAACAACAACAATGCTTCTCGCGTGCGCGTGTGTGCGCGTGTGATACGTGAGTGTGTGCGCGGCGTGTGTGGTGTGTGTGTGCAGCCGCCACTCCACACCCCGATCCGTAGTATTTTGCTGTATCCAGGTTGCGCCCGGGAGCGCGGCACCGCCCGCTTTGCGCTCGGGCGCAGCTTTCCTCCTACCCCGCGCGCTCTTCGCTCCACCCGGCCGCACCCTCCACACCTGGGCGAGGACCTGGGCGCCCCGGCCCGGGAGCCGGCTCGGCTTCACTCACCCCTCCCCTCTCTTCCCCGCTCTCCGCAGAGAATGTGATGGACATCGGTCTGACCAACGAGAAGCCCAACCCGGAACTCTCTTATTCGGGCTCCTTCCAGCCAGCCCCCGGCAACAAGACCGTGACCTACTTGGGAAAGTTCGCCTTCGACTCCCCTTCCAACTGGTGTCAGGACAACATCATTAGCCTCATGAGCGCCGGCATCTTGGGGGTGCCCCCTGCCTCAGGGGCACTCAGCACTCAGACCTCCACGGCCAGCATGGTGCAGCCGCCGCAGGGCGACGTGGAGGCCATGTACCCGGCGCTGCCCCCCTATTCTAACTGCAGTGATCTCTACTCGGAGCCTGTGTCTTTCCACGACCCCCAAGGCAACCCCGGGCTCGCCTATTCCCCCCAGGATTACCAATCGGCCAAGCCGGCCTTGGACAGCAATCTCTTCCCCATGATTCCTGACTACAACCTATACCACCACCCCAACGACATGGGCTCCATTCCGGAGCACAAGCCCTTCCAGGGCATGGACCCCATCCGGGTCAACCCGCCCCCCATTACACCCCTGGAGACCATCAAGGCGTTCAAAGACAAGCAGATCCACCCGGGCTTTGGCAGCCTGCCCCAGCCGCCGCTCACGCTCAAGCCCATCCGGCCCCGCAAGTATCCCAACCGACCCAGCAAGACCCCGCTCCACGAGCGGCCCCACGCGTGCCCAGCGGAGGGCTGCGACCGCCGTTTCAGTCGCTCGGACGAGCTGACCCGGCACCTGCGCATCCACACGGGCCACAAGCCCTTCCAGTGCCGGATCTGCATGCGGAGCTTCAGTCGCAGCGACCACCTTACCACTCACATCCGCACGCATACGGGCGAGAAGCCCTTTGCCTGCGAGTTCTGCGGGCGCAAGTTTGCGCGCAGCGACGAGCGCAAGCGCCACGCCAAGATCCACCTCAAGCAAAAGGAGAAGAAGGCGGAGAAGGGGGGTGCGCCCTCTGCGTCCTCGGCGCCCCCAGTGTCCCTGGCCCCTGTGGTCACCACCTGCGCCTGAGGCTCGGGCCCCCAGATCCCCACTTTTCCCCTGCAGTGTCTCCCAGCTGCTCGCCTGAAAGCAGCGGGGAAAGCTAGCCACGGAGGCGCAGGGGCCGCGCCCTGGCCTCTCCATGGACGTAAGGTCCCTTGTTCCCCTTCGATGTCCCCCGTTTCCACCCTTTCACACCGGCCAACGGTCGGGGGCCAGGGCAGGAGGCGCCCTCCCTTCGCTGCCCCCCCTTAACCAAGGCGTGGGGGCGGAAAGGTGGCGTCTAGCCCGCTTTGTTCAGTGCGGATCGTCTTGATCCAGGGGCCGCTGGGCCGCGCCAAGGACCTGCGGGGGACTGAAGGCGGGGCCCGCCCAAGCCTCGCCCGACCCAAGCACCTCACGGTTCCCCCCACGTCTCCCTCGGTTCCCCCTCGAAGACCCGAGAGGGGGAGGGGGTAAGGAGCGCACCAAAGCGCAGAGCTTGCTGCCCGCCGCACGCACGCGCGCCTGCGTGCGGGGATGCGCCGCGCGAGTGTGCGTGCTCGCGTGAGTGTTATGTGTGTGGGAGTGTGGGTGTGCGCGCGCGCGCGCGCGTGTGTGTGTATGTGTGTGTGAGACTCTTGAGCTGAACTGGGCTGTGTCCACCCCAAACTCTTCCCTACATCGGGTCCCCAGGCCGCTGGGGGAATGTCCCAGGTTGGGGGCCTGCACGTGGCCGGAGGAGACGGTCTTCCATCTGCTCGGAAATCATGTTTCTTACAGAAATGCCTCAGATGCCGCCGTGGGGCTTCTACCGCCGTATAGGGGTGGCCCCTCAGCACCCCTCCTTTTCCGAGCGCTTCCCTCTCAGGCCTCAGGGCAGTTTGATCTGCGGGGAGAAGGAGCAGCCATCACTAAACCTGCCTTGTAACAGATCTATGTCCTCAAGCCCCACTTTCCAAAAGCTGTGTTGCTGAGTTCGCTCCTCTGCCCTTTTCCCCCCTCCTCTCCCTTCTCTCTAAAGCCTTCTCCCATTCTTTCAAAATCTTCTTCCAGAAAGGCAGGCCTCAACCAGCCACCTCATTTCACCATCTTTCTGTTTTCGCTCACTCATACCCATTTCTCCTTCTCCCCAGTGATGGGAAAGCAGGCTCATTTTTTCGTCCTTTGTCACTGCCCACACAACAGGTAGAATTCAAAGCTGTGTATATGGTGTGTGTGTGTGTGTGTGCATGTGTGTGTATATACACACGTACATACATACATACATATACATATATATATAACACACAACATGTACTCTCAGCAAAATAAAATCTCCAAGGCACTTGGCGATCCAGTGCAGCGCACTGGAGTAAAGAGAATTTGTAGGTATTATAAGCTTTAAATGATTTATTTTTTATGAAAAATTTAACCGATGAGATTGTATCTACATAGATGTGTGTGTGTGTATATACACATATATATGTATGTACGTGTACGTGCATATACACACATACACACATCTCTGTCCAAATTTTCCTTAAAGACATGGGTATTTTTGCATTCATCCCTGTTGCTGAAATGAGGCATTATCTTTTCCGCACCCAGCTCTCACTTTCTCCCCGCCCTACCTCACCTCTTCTCAGGCACCCCCCCTCCCTAGCACTTCCTCCCCCCACACACAGGGGTGACTCTTTTGAAATGGAGTAGTAGGGAAGGTTGCTCTCTGACACAGCTTCCAGCAGTCTTGACTGAATGTACTGTTCCCTCTTAGCGTTATTTCTCCTGCGGTCACTAAGCTGCCCAGAGAGAAGGAACAAAGGTCTGGAGTTTACAGAATGTCTGTTTTTAAAGTCACTTTATGCGTTTCCCACTTTTTTTTTTTTTTTTTTTTAAGAAAAAAAGCATCGGGGGTTTTTGTTTGTTTGTTTTTTTGTTCTTTGGGTTTGTTTTTTGTTTCCTTTGGTGGTGGATAAATAATACTAAAAAGAGTCTAGTGAAAGGGGAAAAAATCAAAGAGCAGGGGGATTGTGAATTTCCAGGTACTTGGACTTTTTTGTAGAAGGAGAGAGAAGAGGATGAAGTTTGCCAGGAGGGCCCATATTTTTTCAGCTGAAGGGTAAAATCTTTCTTTGCAGAGACAGTATTTTGCTGAATACTTTTTATAATGTGATGATTATTAAAAACAAAAATTTTGGTCACTTCAAAGCTGGAAGGAGGAATCAAATATCCTTTAATATTTTTTCCTTGCTCCTTCTGGTTTATGCATGTCACTGCATGATAATCTGAGTTTTCCTTTGTTTTAATAAAACTGTTCTCAGACATTTAAGCTTAAACTAAGAGAAAAATAACTTTGTTGCCAAAAGGTTGTGCTATCCAGATTTTTTTATATGTCTGCATGTTTTAAAAAAACAACAACAAAAGAAAATGCACTCTAACTTATGTGAACTGAGAGAAAAAAAATCAGGTTTTAAACAGGAAAACCTATGGGGAATGATATTTTTTGAAAGACTTTTGTATAAAGTTGAGTACTTAGAAAAAGACAAACCAGATGTAATATATTTTGTGGATGTTTTTATTTCTTGGATTTATAGTACCTTATACTAAGGTTAAAAAAATATGCTTGATATTGTGAAAAGGTGAAATTCTTCACCAACATTTCATTTGCTCCTTTGTCACATTGTTATGCCAATATAATATAGTTAATGAAAACAGCATTTTTAAAAACTGAAATATTGAAATGGTGTAATGTTGTACCATTTGCACTGTGAGCAAATGCTAATACAGTAAAGATATTGTGTTTGCTGACAATCAGCCGGCCTATTAATCTCCTTATTTTATTTCTTGTTTTCATAGTATAAAGTTTTGGTTTGGCCTGTTTTTTTGTCTTGTTTTGTTTTTGGCTGAGGGTTGGTTTGATAGGTTCTTGTGCCAGGCTTTGTTGCTCTTGCTCTGAAAACTCAATGTGAGACCTGGAATTTAGCATCATGAGAAGCTGGTCAGAATTTGGCGCGGGTTCTGCTGTTTCAAACCCAGTGTCGAGTGTTTACAGTGGTTCTGAGAGAAAAGGATTCTTCCTCCACGCTGCTGGGAGTCTCAGACTGCCAGAGAGATGAGGCAGGCAGATGAGATAAACCCGTGGGAATCGGAACTGGTGACTGGAAGCTTCTAGAACCCTTCTCCTTGGTTTCTAATGGCTATTGAGGGTAGAGACGTGGGGATCTTCTAGTGGCTGAACTATAGCTCTGGTGCTAACAGGGAGCACCAGAGCAGGACCCTGTGGAATCCCTAGAGCCACATTGAGTAGTGCTCTTGCTACAGCTTTTGAAGCCTGAAAAACAGGTGGAGACTTGAGAGAGGGTTTTTCAAGGTTGGCAAGATAACCAGAAAGATTGGAAGCTCTATTGTGGTCAGATAATTGGGAAAAATCAGATTTAAAAATTATGCAACTTCAGCCCCACTTGGGCAGGACTCTCCAGGCCTCACTATTTGTAGCTGCCTGGGAAAGAGGGTTTTGGCTGAAAAAAAGCAGCTTTTACGAACTCCCCGGGATCCAATGCTTCTGAGATTTGGAGGACATACAAGGAATATTTTATATAGCATTAACCCCTCACATCTTATGACTTCTATCTCCCATAGAGGTGATGCCACCCCCACTCTTTGAGCTTTCTTCCCCCAGAACCTTGCCCTTTCTTGACTGAGTTCATTGGCCAGCCCTAGAGCTTTCTCCCGGTTCTCTTAAAGAGATACATACCCACCCACTTTCTTTGTGCGTCCCCGGCTCCACTCTGCTCCTTTCACCTTATTTACAATCCTTTATCCTCCTGCAGCTTGTTCTAGAATGATCCTTGGACAGATCAGTCCTTTTTCTCCCTTTCTTCCTGCCTGCCCTCTAAAACACTCAGTTGGGCTTTTCTGTTATGTATTTTGTGTGTCATCTGCCTCACTGAAGCTTGGGAGCAGGGGCTCGGTGTCTGCGCGCTGCATAGACATAGACGTAGATACAGCAACTGGGGGACCATGTCTTGCCGCCTGAAGCAACCATACAGTGACAGGAATGGAGTACAGCATCCCTGCTCAGAAACTGCTCTTGCTGCCCCTGTCAGGCCCATCGCCCCGAAAAATGTGGGTGGTATTTCGGTTGGCTTCAGTTACCGAGAAGTTGAGGGCAGACCCGAGTGTAGGTGGTGGGCTGTGGCCTTAGAAAAGAATGTTTTTTGAAGTGTGAGATCAATAAAGAGAATGCTGTATGGAATCTTACATTTTCTCACCCACACAATTCTAGGTCACGGGCTGCCATCTTGAATTCCCTTCTTTCACCTCATGAAACTTTCGAAATTCCAAACTGCAGCTATAGCCACAAGGAAGTATCCTTTTTTTTTTTTTTTAGCAAAGGGAATCCAAGATGGCTGAAAAGCCCTAAAGATTGAGCATATAACCCACCTCTTTGCTAAACTAGATATTTGCTTCCAGATTTCCATGTGTTTTTCAAGGGCATATTTATCAGAGAAGGATAGCGTCACTGGGTGTCTTCATAGTTAGCATCCGGCCCCACCTGCACCTTCTCCAATCAAATCAGGCCCTCAGAGTTATACTTTCGTCAACAGTGTACTATGCTGCATGATTAATAAACTCACTTCCCATTGGTGCATATTACTCAACCCAACCTGGTTCAACCACTGGGTTACTTGACAATATGGCAGCCCGCCTGGCTGGCACCAGCCCTGTGTGGTGTAATCTCTGATTCATACTTTGTAGCTAGATAAGGCTGTCCCAGATAGCATCATACCAGCAACCCAACCTGCCTGGGTTTTGTAAGTATGGGGAGAGGAAACTCAACCTTCACACTTAGGGATGAAGTGGAGAGATGGTAGAGGAAAGGGCTGGATAGAGCTATCAGGAGAAGGAAGCAATGGAAGCTTGGCCGGGAGGAAAATCAGGCATAGAAATATGGAAGGGGCTTAACTATGTCCAAAGCAAGCTAAAGGTTAGTTTAGGGTGAATGAAAGGATTTCTCTCTATCTTCCTCTCTCTCTCTCTCGTCTTGGGAGTGGCTTTACCGGAGGTGATGACTCTTTGCAAAATTGGACTCCATGAACTAGGGCTGGGTACAAAGGAGGAGATACTTCATGAGAAGCGGGGGCAAGGAGTGGCTTATTTTCTAATGGTGGGGGTAGTAGTGATGTAAGTGTGGGTCTACATATTCTTCTCAACTATATAAAAAGGAATAGCAAGGTAGATCCCGACGATAGCAAGGTAACGGCTAATGGCCAGTGGCTACGGATCCCCTTTTACTAATCCAGAACTTGCCTGCCATAGATGAGGGGTTGTGGGCTACATTTTCCTGGCCTCAGTTGGTTGGCCCTCCTGGTGCCGTGGAATAATAAGCCTGAGGAAAGTAGAAGGCCTCTGCGTGTCCCAGAGACCAGAAGTCATACTGGCAAATTCTTTCTAAATGGCTTTCTAAAAGGTGCCATGTGGTTTTCAAAAGAGGTCATAATCCTTAATCTATCCCAAATGGTTCTTTTTAGAAAACCCACTCTTTATATGGATGGGAATGAGGTTTCCAGAGGAAGAAAAAAGATCTAAGGGACTCTTGGAGCCCCT